AAAGTAATGCAATAGTTACTTTTACTAGTAACTAGTAACTTTTATTGTGGAGTAACTGAGTAACTTAGTTACTTTTTGGGAGAGGTAACTATAACTAATTACTTTTTCAAATTAACGTGCCCAACACTGCCAATATATCTTGTGAACTTCATGTCATTATGTACATTCTTGGCTCAGTCAATAATATACATAATGTCATTATTGACTGAGCCAATAACGTCCATAATGTCATTACTGGCTCAATAAATGAATCAATGTTTACACAAAGCTAGTTGGTTATTACTATGCTAAATGCCCATACTGTACCTGCTATTACAGATGTTCGATAAGAGACACCATCATTCAGCAAAAGATGGATGGATTGATTCCTTGTGTTTCTAGATTACCAAGGAAAATGAACTATATTTTGAATTAGGTTATTTGCTTTATCTGGAATGTACTACAAAGAAAAAAATGCCATACCATTCCAAAAAAATTATTTAGTATAGGCCCTGTCCAAATGTTCAAGTGTATATGACAACCTTCTTTGTCAAGTAGGCAGTCACATTACGATAAGGTGGCCGCAAAATCAACTACCGGTACATTTGAAATCAGGTCCTAGAGGGGAGTTTGAAGCAACCTGCATTATTTCTCCTTCATTATACAGATAACCTGCTACACATTGGCCTGTTTTCTCATGCAAACCAAAGAAGCCCTCATCACCCTTAACGCCCATGTGCCAAAACAAATAGAAGTACCAGCATACTTACAGTGGTTTTATGGTTTTCACAAGTGATGAAAATCCAGCTTTGAAGTCACCAATTATGGGTAATGATGGTGATGTCCTAACATCATTTAGGCTTCATCCAGAGGGTTTTAGGAGCAATTTATGGCTATAATTCGATACGTGAATAAATTCAGTGTAGCCCCAAAGTTATAAAGTGGGTATGTAGAAAAAGATATATTTGTATCACTTAAAGTCATTATAGAAATTAAATTATATATATATATATATATATATATATATATATAAAAGTCATTATAGAATATCTTTCAAGTGGAACCACAATTGTAAATGTCATATTTTTCAATTTATAGATGATGTGTGAGCACACATAGAAACCAGGTGTCAGTGACCAGGGGATTTTTCCCTTGGGCTTATAAACGTCTTGAATTTCTAACCCAACAGTTAACAACAATTATCTTACAGTTATACTCATAAACATACTTCAACCCAAGATCCTTCACAAACCTGGATGTTTTCATAAAAAGGGTCACAAAAAAGGAAAATGGACATGTTGGTCTTCTTTATTAAGTTAGTCTATTAAAAAAGTAAAAAAAAAAAAAAAAAAATTAAAGGAAATTAAATAGATAAACATTGTGGAAATGATTTACTGTATATGAGATTGAAGATCACATGTTAACGAGATATATATTTGGGATGAATGATTATTTGACGTATAATGAAGGAGGGTTATAAAACCAAGACAAACACCTGCATTCACAAGAAATCTTTGAAGGATGGAGATTTCTACCTTTTATATTGGCTTGACATTTGCATTCAGCTTATTGGAGCTGAAGTCAGTGGTTGGCCTAAGAGGGGCTGTGAATGGGTTGAATCAAACATTTGAGTCTGCAGGGGCTGGCCCCCTTACTAAGGATTCATCTTTGAAATGCACACTGCAGGGCGCTAATCGTTCACCGGAATTCTCTCTGGATGGAGACTTTATCATTGGAGGTGTTTTCGCAATTCATTACCAGCATTACACAATGATTTATAATTACACCACCAAGCCGGAGCCTCCAAGGTGCACAGGGAGGTTAGTGAGTCGGAGAGGTTGAAAGGAATGTTACATGTATAATGCATGCATGCTGCAAAGTTTGCTGTAATATTGGTTGAAAGGAAAATCAGATTTATTGCATAAACCTTTTTTTCACAAGAAATTATACTATATGGATGATAGCAATAGTAAATCAATTAAAACATACATTTAAGAATCAATATTATTCCTTAAATCTTCAAATGATATACAATTTGAAACTTGATAAATGGACAAGATATTTACTTATTATTTTTGTTGTGCATTTGCGTCTACTTGTGTAATGCCAAATTGTTTTTGCATTTGCTTTTCTTTTGGTTGTTATATGATCAATATCTTCAGAGTTATATTTTCATGTAAATTCCAGCTTTTACCCAATTCATTTATTTTTAGGTTCAATGCTCGGAGTCTGCGTTTCTCTCGTTCTATGGTCTTTGCCATTGATGAAATTAACAACAGCAAAGAGCTGCTGCCTGGCATCCGACTGGGATATCGGATCTATGACTCATGTGTCTCGGTACCTGTGGCAGCGCATGTTGCATTTCAGTTAACAAATGGCCTAGATCCTTTATTTTACAAAGGCAGTAACTGTTCACAGTCTGGTGTAATTATGGCTGCTGTGGGAGACTCTGCATCCACTCCATCTATCAGTATATCACGGATCATTGGATCGTTCAACATTCCTTTGGTGAGGAGTCTGAATTCATTAAAATCTGAAATTCTAAAATGTTCCCAAGCTGATGATACATGAATTTACCTTTTTCACTGCAGGTAAGCCACTTTGCCACTTGTGCCTGCCTTTCGGACAAACAGCAATTCCCAACTTTTTTTAGAACTATTCCTAGTGATCATTTCCAAGCGGATGCACTGGCTAAACTTGTGAAATACTTTGGATGGACTTGGATAGGTGTTGTCCACTCAGACTCAGATTATGGAAACAATGGCATGGCATCTTTTCTTGAGGCAGCAGTTAGAGAGGGGATCTGCGTGGAGTATATTGAATCTTTTTTTAGAACAGACCCACAGAGAAAGATCCAAAGAGTTGCAGATGTTATCCGTAGGTTTGTATGTTTGTGGTTTTAAGAATTGAAATATACTTTTGCTCATTGCTCCCTTACATGCCTTTTGTTTTATCACAAAGCAAATATGATCTATATAGTCATTGTCTTTTTGTTTCTTTTATATGTTAAAAGTGAAGCATATGTTATTTAAAGACAATACATTCCTGTGTCTTTAGATCCACAGCTGTGGTTGTTTTAGCGTTTACAGCTATCGGAGAAATGAATGTCTTGTTAAAAGAGCTTGCCCGGGACCCTCCTCCACCTCGTCAGTGGATAGCAAGCGAGGCCTGGGCAACTGACCCAAACCTGATGAGCTTCAGTTTCTGTGCAGGAACCATCGGAGTAGCTATTCAGCAATCTATAATCCCAGGTTTGAGAGAATTCCTTTTGGATCTCGCTCTGCCTGAAGTGGCTGCTTCTTCAGCACTGACTGAATTCTGGGAAGATGCATTTAACTGCAGCCTGAGTGAAAGTGAGAGCATTTCTAAAAATGGAAATCATATCAGATACAAACAGATATTTTCTCTTTTTGTTATAAAAAATAAATCTTCATTGTCAAACAGATCAGTTTAATTACATATCAAATTTGCATCTATTCTTTTAGCATATTTAACTAACTAAAACAAGATTTGTAATCATTTTTACCAGGCAGAGCCTAATGCCTATTAATATACATGTATATATTTTAGCATAATGCATAGTTTTAGTTCTGCAATTCTAGTCTTTTTAAACAGGATTGTTTGAGTTATAGTTTTAATATTTATTAAATAATTTATGTTAAATGCTTCTTTAAGTTTTTTTTTTTTATTATTATTATTAAATGCTGTTAGAGACCCTGATACATCTCAGTAATCCAGGTAGAAAAAAAAAGTTAAGTAAGTTGTGTCATCTAAATGATTCTTCTTTTTTTGAAAAATCATTCAGAAGATATTTCGTCTCTTCTCTAGGAGATCTCTTAAGTCTAGGGAGTACAATTCAGTAAATTTAGCCTCATAAACAGTACCTCCACATAGTTGTATGAGGATTAGTTTTTATTAATTTTAAAAGCCTTTTTACGTTTTACATAATTTCTTGTTATACATTGTTTATTATAGCTTGATATAAGAAATTAGCAGAGATATGTGGGTTAAATACACATATGCCGTAAATACAGAAGTCATGCACTAGATATACATTTTTTTCAAATTTATAGCAAAGTTTTTAATTGAAAAACAAAAACCTAAATGCCTTTTTCTGCAAACAATCCCTTTGGTTAGATGGTTTTCTACTTCGATAGATGAAACTATCATTCTCTCCAATTATTTTTCTTTAGGTGCTGATCCAGACAAGAGAGTGTGTAATGGAGCTGAAGATATTAAATCCCTTAAAAGCCCATACACTGAAACGTCACAGTTGCGGATCACTAACATGGTGTACAAGGCTACATATGCAATTGCACATGCGATTCACAATGCAGTGTGTAACAAAACAAATACAATGACACAATGTGAGAAACACACCATACTGGGGCCCAAACAGGTCAGTCCATAGATGGAGCAAATTCCTTACTCATTATTTCTTAATTAGCTTTTAAAGAATTATGAATTTAAAAGACAATTTTAATGTCTTTTTCTGGCTCTTTTTACTTGAAAGGTTTTGGAAGAATTAAAGAAAATAAATTTCTCTAGAAATGGATACCACGTGTCATTTGACGCTAATGGGGATCCAATAGCTTTTTATGAATTGGTAAACTGGCAAAGGGGTGAGAGCGGAGTTATTAAACTGGTAACAGTGGGATACTATGATGCATCACTGCCAAAGGGCCAAGAGTTTCGTATCAACAAGAACCTTACCTGGCTGGATGGTGGGACACAAGTAACAACCTTTAAAGACAGTAATTTTATGATTATAATTTGTGAAAATTATTTGTCAAAACTGCTTGCAAACTTTAAAATTTTGTCTCTGTCACTGTTTCAGGTACCAGAATCAGTGTGCTCTCAAAGTTGTCCTCCTGGAACTCATAAAGTGCTGCAGAAAGGAAAGCCCATCTGCTGTTATGATTGTATACCATGTCCTGAGGGGGAGATTAGTAATAAGACAGGTAAAATCAAATTTACCTCATGTATATTTATATCCATAAACATCCACATATTAAAAATGTTTTCTTGAAATGTCTGTTTAGATTCCATTGATTGTTTCCCTTGTGCCAAAGAATTCTGGCCAAATATGGAGAAAGATGAGTGTCTCCCCAAACCTGTGGAGTTTCTTTCCTTCACCGAAGGCTTGTCAATCATCCTGGCTGTATGCTCTGTTATTGGGGCCTGTATGGCCATCATTACAGCCGTGATTTTTTTAAATCATAGGACGACTCCAATTGTCAGAGCTAACAACTCTGAGCTGAGCTTCCTACTGCTCTTCTCTCTGACTCTGTGCTTCTTATGTTCATTAACTTTCATTGGAGCACCTTCTGAGTGGTCCTGCATGCTGCGGCACACAGCGTTTGGCATCACCTTTGTTCTCTGTATCTCCTGTGTTCTTGGAAAAACTATAGTTGTTTTGATGGCTTTCAAGGCTACACTTCCAGGAAATAATGCCATGAAATGGTTTGGTCCCCCACAGCAAAGAATTACAGTAGTGTTTCTTACGTTTATTCAAGTTATAATATGTACACTCTGGTTAGTTCTGAGTCCTCCTTTCCCAGTGAAAAATCTAACCACCCACAAGGAGAAGATCATCCTGGAATGTGCATTAGGCTCTGCTGTTGGTTTCTGGGCTGTGCTTGGCTACATCGGCATACTTGCTGTTTTTTGCTTTGTGTTAGCGGTTCTAGCTCGGAAACTACCTGATAATTTCAATGAAGCCAAGCTGATCACATTCAGCATGTTGATATTCTGTGCTGTCTGGATCACCTTCGTCCCAGCATATGTCAGCTCCCCTGGAAAACTTACTGTGGCAGTAGAGATATTTGCCATTCTAGCCTCTAGTTTTGGACTTATGCTGTGCATATTTGCTCCAAAGTGTTTCATCATTTTGTTTCAACCAGAGAAGAACACCAAGAAATATTTAATGAAAAAAAATTAATAAAATACAAGGTTAGAAAGGGAAAACATTCTGCACAAAGAAAGTGCAACATGGTTGAAATGAGAGTCCATTTTATCTACTAACATTCAGAAAGGTAAGCCACTGTATGTCTTTAAAATGTTCTTTAAGTTGTTTAATTGATTTCTAATTGTACAAAGAAAATTTAGCTGAATGTTTATAGTACATCCTTTATTTAGGATACTTTAAGAAATCTAATAAAATTCATTGGGAAAGTATAAAGTCCATTAGAATTCTTAATAAGACAGCTTTCAAGACACTGCATTAGCTTTCCATTTTCTGATAGATTTTGTTATTATACTGTAAATACTCAAAGAAGCAACACTATCTTACCCATCTCTGGTGGCAGTAAAATAAAAAGAAAATTCTAAATAAAATTATAGCATGCTGCAAATATGTTTCAGTAAAAGGATTGATTTGCCTAAAAACTCGGGTCTGCAATTAGTGCCTTAAAACACTACCTATCAAGCTGTTTAAAGCATTGACTGACTTGCTTAAAGATGTGATTAATATTGTCAATATTTCTTAAAGCACTGGAATGTTGCCTATCAACCGAATACTTCTGTCCAAAATACTTGAAAACTGCATATTGTAAACTATATTCACAATTAAACTAAAACTATTTATTTCATAATTAAAAGTATTGATTTATAGCTAGTAGAAGCATGGAAATTGAAATGTTAAAAATATTAAATTACTTGGAAATTTTTCATAAGGGGAATAGCATTTCAATGTCTATTCTCTTTGACTTAGTGCAGCTTTTGGTTTGGTTGATCATTCTGTCCTTTTGGATCTGTCTGACTCTGTTCTGAATTGGTTGTCCTAATTTCCAACACATAAAATACAGAAAAATCTCTAAGGTCTCTCATAAAAAATAGATTCTTAAAATTAAAGATTTTACTACAAATATAGTGAAACTTTTGTACATGACCTGATAGCTCACCTTAATAACTCATACCTTTCACCTGCTTAACTCTATTCAGCTTCTAATTATCACTCATCTCATACACCTGCCGGTTTCCCTTATATTGAACTCAGTTCCTGCTATCATGGCCAGATCATTGTTTGCTGTTTGTGTCCTGTCTGATTTCTGTTTGTGTGCTGTCTGTCTCATTGGTTAGATTTATTTCCAGGGTTTGTGTTCCAGTCAGGAGTTTATTCTCAAGCCAGTGGCCTCAGGCGAGTTATCCCATAACCAGCAGTTAGAGCATTTCAGCGTTTCCCTAGGGGTTCTGTTTTCCTGATTCTGTTCCCTCTCACCCACTGGCCCTGTCTGTCCCTGACTGATCTGTTCACCTGAACCACAGTTGGACTCCTGCTGGATTCTGTCTCCCAGGTGCGTTTCTGTCTGAGCTGGATACTCGACGCATGGGACTCTTAACCTGCCTTCACACGCTGATGGATTCCTGAAGCCAGGATCTGTCTGTTCCTGAGTGGATTGGAACCCCTGACCGGAATGCGGCCTCCTGGATTCCAGTACTACTCAAGTCTGATCTGAATCCCTGTCCTGGATCGGAGTCCAGCCTGCTTAGTGGGGTTGCTGCATGGGGGGCGCTCTGGATGGTTCAGGGTCACCTCTTATTCGCAGTGCATTGGCTTATTCTGCCTATGGTTGAGAGGTTGGACTGACTCATCAGCTCTGTGTTTCTGTTCTGTCTCTTAATGTTTTTATTTTAATAAACATTTTGAACTTTCCTACTGGCTGTATCACTTTGAATACTGGGTCCATCTGTCCTGCTTGATGACACATTGTTATATGCCCCAAACTTAATAAGAAACATATGCAGGTGTGTGTGTGTGTGTGCGTGTGTGTGTCTGTGTGTGTGTGTATGTATATATATATATATATATACACACAATAAGAGGTATAAGCTTATGTAGATTAAATATATTAGCTCTTAATTCTTTGAAACTTTGCACACTTGTAGTTAGGGAAGTGCTTTACCTTATTGAAAATGTGAATTTCTTGATGTGAATAAGCTGACATGCCAAACATTTGTATGTGTGTTAACTGGGGAATGTAACAGAATGGAATGATAGGGTTGTGATAAGTCCAGTGATACTAAATACATGCATATAGCCAGCTGTGTCAATGTGACTGGGTTGTAAATGTAAATGTAAATCCCTTTATTGTCCCACAATGGGGAAATTCACTCTGCATTAGACCCATTTGGGAGCAGTGGGGTGCCATTCTGAGGCGCCCGGGGAGCAGTGTGGGTTAGGGTTTTTGCTCAGGAACCCAGAGTGGAGGCTGTGGGGAGCGGGGCTTAAACTCAGAACCTCTGGATTCCTAGAGCAATGCCCTAACCACTATAAGTCGCCACTCCCCTGCTATATCACTAAATGAATGAAGTGTTGGGAGCTGGAGAAATTCCACCTTTCTCCAGCAGAGTCCGCCGTGGACATGAAGTCTCCTTTTACTTTGCACTAAAAATGTTTCTAAATATATAAACTGACCAAAATTGAGAAAAAGGATGTTGCATTGCATAGCAATGCACGGTACTGTCTGACATTGGGATGTGGTTTAATTTTATTAAATGCACCAGTTTCTGAGAGATGTTGATACCTAAATATTTTTATTCCCTGACTGCAGTTGTATATTGGGGGCCTTTTGGAAACTTCACTTATATGTAGGACTGTCCATGTTTTATCTCAACAATATTCACTGAGGTAGAGGTGCTGCCCATCAGTGACTGCTTTGAAATTCACGTCTACCTTTGTATCCCCCAGCTCACTCTAACTTGACACTTCTGAAGAAAGGGGGTTTGTGTCTCTTTCTGTCTTTATGATTCTTGATAATTTAATGTCACATTTGAGTAGAAACACACTAACAATATGGACCAAATGTTCACTATGCTAATGTGTTTGAGCTGTTGCTTATAAGCTTTATTTCATTAAGGGTTTAAACACTAATATAATGTTAAAGTTCATGTGCATATGCTCTTTACATTTTGATGACCAAATTATGAACAAAATTTTATCAGACTCTGCATGTCTGCTAATGTGTAGCTCTCTCAAAGAAAGTAAAAATCAATTAACTAAAGGCTCCTGATTCCTGATTAATCAAATCATTTAATTAAACATTATTTGCCAAATAATGTCTTATTCACCTTTTGAAGTTGCTTTGTGAATTGGTTTGAAAACATTCCAATTGCTCTAAATTAGTTAAAATCTAATTTGATCAGATGTTCCATAAACTTAAGTTCTCAAACACAAAATCCATGCTAAACTGTGATATCATTGCATCATTTAATTTATTATGTTTTTCTTACTAATTTGTACATGATACCTTAGTTTAGCTGAGTTTCAATAGTTTTAGTCAAGAGTTTTTAAATGCAAAATGCTTGACTTGGAGCTCAATTATTATTTTTTTAAATAAACTCTTATGTTTTGAATAGAAGTTGTGGTGATTTTATTCTATATAAGTGCATAGTTATCTGTTTGACCGGGATTTGAGCTTGATTCACACAGCCAGCAGCATGTTGTGTTTATAAATGTTATATGGCGGTCTGAATATTATCTGAATAAATAACATAATTACCACCCCCGCTGGGGTGGGCAATAAATATATTAAAGTGGCACAAATTGCATTGAATTTGCGTAAATTGTAACAATTTAAATACTCGAGAAAGCAACGTTTTTGAGTGATGGCTAAAACAGTAATACATCATCAGCATAAAGACTGACTTTATGTTCTATGTTCTTGCGTTCAATACATTTAATATAACTGGTTTAGGTATTTGCTGCAGCTAGCGGTTCAATACAGATAGCAAACAATGAGGGAGAGAGTGTGCATCCTTGCCTAGTGCCCCTCCACAGATTAAAGCTAGAAGAGGTTTGATTATTTGTTCTTGTTTTGTTATTTGCCCTTGGGGAGCTGTATAGAATTTATAACCAATTTATAAAACCGTTACCATTGCCAATTTACATAGGGATGCAAATAAATACTTCTAATTAACTTTATAAAACACTTTCTTTTTAACTAGTTATAATGTGTTGGTTTTAATGTTTTCACTGTAGGAATGGTCTAAACATTGGTAGATGCAGGCCTTCCCTTCATGAAGCTAGTTTAACCTAAGTGGATTAAATTGGGGTTACTTTTTCTAAATGCTTGGCAAGAGCTTTACAAATTATTTGAAGGTCAACATTAATCAGCAATATGGGTCGATAGCTGGTGGGATGGTCAGGATCTTTATCTGGTATTAGCAGGAGAATAATTTGCAGAATCCATATTTGGTGGAAGTCTGCCCTTCTCCTTAGTTTTTTGTTTGAAATGTATTCTGATTAATGTTTGTTCCAGAATATTCCAATATTCTTTAAACAATACTTCTGGAAGTCCATCAGGGCCTGGAACCTTTTCTTTGGGCATCTCTTTGAGAGCCTCTTGCAGTTCAACTGTTGTTAGCAATGAATCCAGGGCCGTCGCCTGATTATCAGATAATTTAGGAAGTGTTACCTTGTTTAAAAATACATCAATGTCACAATCTGATGGGTTAATTTTTGATAAGTATAGAGCTTTATAAGTCTCTTGAACAGCTGTTTATATTATTTGGATCATATAAAGTTTTAAATTTTTACTGTTGAGTCTATAACAGCTGAAATTTTTTTTTTCTGTATTTATTTTAAGCAGGTTAGTTGAAAAGCTCCCTGATTTATTACCAAGATTAAAGTTTCTTGCAAAGATTTCGTAGGATTTTACAGCATTTAATTCTAATTTCGGCTTTACAAATTTTACTTATTGCTACTTTGCACAGTAGCGACATCTTGCCTGGCATTCTGTCCAGCTTTCACATGATCCAGAAGAGCAATTTTGGTTGGGCTGCTGTTCCTGGTTGTCCTACAGGTGATACACTTAGTCCTATCTTACAATGGGTAACTCTGAATTTCTCTAAGACATTGCTATTGACAAACCATTTAATCCAAATGTGACCATATGTGCCCTATTTTGCCTTCCAGACAAGAACAGACAAACAGAAAAAAATCAAATGTATGCAGTTGATTTGCTCCAAACTATTATTTTAATATTTTAGACATTTATTAAATGAAACTATGCAGTTCAAAAAGTTTGACAAGTGCCTTGATATCCCATGTGCTACATTTTGTTATGATTTCATTCCTTAGACAATTTTAAATTATTTTTTGTTCATTAAATATTTCTTTGTGTTCTTCTCTGGTTGAAACAAAATAATGAAACACTTCGGAGCAAATATACAGACTATCAGTCCAAAACTGGAAGCTAGAATCGCAAATATTTCAACAGCCACTGTAAATTTTCCAGGAGAGCTGATATATGCTGGAATAAAAGTTATCCAGACTGCACAGAATATCAACATGCTGAAGGTGATTAGCTTGGCTTCATTAAAATTGTCTGGAAGTTTCCGAGCAAAAATAGCTAAAACAAAGCAAAAAATCGCCAGCAGGCCAATGTAGCCAAGCACAGCCCAGAAACCTACATTAGAGCCTAATGCACATTCCAAGATGATCTTTTCCTTGTAGGTGGTTAGATTTTTCACTGGAAAAGGGGGACTCAAAATCAGCCATAAAGTGCATATTATAACTTGAACGAAGGTGACAGACACTACAGTTATTCTTTGCTGTGGGGGACCAAACCATTTCATAGCATTACTTCCTGGAAGTGTTGCTTTAAAAGCCATTAAAACAACTATAGTTTTTCCAAGAACACAGGATATACAGAGAACAAAGGTGATACCAAATGCTGTGTGCCGCAGCATGCAGGACCACTTAGAGGGTGCTCCAATGAAAGTTAATGAACATAAGAAACAAAGAGTCAGGGAAAAGAGAAGCAGGAAGCTCAACTCAGAGTTGTTAGCTCTGACAATGGGAGTTGCCCTTTGATGAAAGAAAATCACTGCTGTTATGATGGCTATGCAGGCACCACAAACAGAAAATATAGCGAGGATGATTGCCAGGACTTCGTCAAAAGAAAAAAACTCCACAGGTTTGGGAAAGCATGCATCTCTGCCTCGATTGGGCCAGAACTCTCTCGGACAAAGGAAGCAGTCAGGTGCGTCTAAAGAATTGATCAAAAACAGCCATTATTAAAGACGTTTTTTAACATAGTAACTTACATATAGAAAATAGATCCACCTGTCACATTACTAATCTCCCCTTCAGGACATGGTATACAATCATAACAGCACACGGGTTTTCCTTTTTGCAACACCTTACGGGTTCCTAGAGGACAACTCTTGGAGCACACTGACACCGGTACCTGTCATAGAGCCAGAGGGAAAACAACATTTAATCTATTTCCAGGCAAGGATGCTGTCCTACCTTATTCACATCCTCTGCATTAAGATACATACTTGTTTGGCATCTTCAAGCCAGGTTAGTTTTCTGCTGATATGAAACTGTTCGCCCATTGGCAGTGATGCATCGTAGTATCCCACTGTTACCGGCTCAATAAGTCCACTTTCACTGTTCTGCCAGTTCACCAGCTCATAAAAAGCTATAGGGTCTCCATTACTATCGAATGAAATATGGTAGCCATTTTGGGAAAAGCTTACTTTCTTAAGTTCAGTTAAAACCTTTGAAGTAAAGAAAAAAGAGAGAAAAAAAATCACTGGCGATTTAAAGTATCCTCAGGTTGTAAGTAAAACTCTACATGCCACCTATTATTCAAACTGACCTGTGTTGGATCCAGTCTGATGTATTTGTTACACTGTACAGTTGTATTTTTTTTCTGACACAATACGTTATGTATAGCATGTGCTATTGCATACACAGCCTTATAAACCATGTTAGAAATTCTAAGCTGAGATGTTTCTGTGTATGGGCTTTTAAGGGTTTTTATGTCTTCTGTTCCATCACACTGCTGCTTGTTTAAGTTTGAAGCTAAAAAAAAAAAATTGAAGTTTAACAGTAATCAATTAGTTAACATTCTTTTAAATTTGTCCAGAAAAATTGTGACAATAAGTAAATTTCACATACAGAGTTCTAAGTTTTTAGAATTTACATTTACATATAAAAAAAGGGGAAGGATGAAAGAACATTTTCTCACTCTTTGTTAAACTGCAGTTAAATGCATCCTCCCAGAACTCAGTAAGCACCGAAGAGGCAGCCACTTCAGAGGGAGAGAGATCCAGAAGAAATTCTCTCAGACCTGGGATCACAGATCGCTGGATGGCAACCCCAATGGCACCCGTGCAGAAACTGAAGCTCATCAAATTTGGGTCAGTTATCCAGGCCTCACTTCCTATCCACTGACGTGATGGAACCAGCTGCCGTGCAAGCTCTTCCAAGAGGATCTTCATATCTCCAGGAGCTGCAAATGCCACAACAACCGTTGCTGTTGACCTGAAAAGACAATCATTGAATTATCTCAAAATAATTAATACATTTTTTATCTTAATCTTGATAAGGTACTAGTTGTATTTTTGATTCAATACTGATCAAAAGGCAATAATAATTTGTACAATATACAGAATGATGGATACACAGAAACCTCCGGATCACATCAGCAACTCTTTGGATCTTGCTCTGCGGGTAGGTCCAATCGAAGGATTCCATGTATTCAACACAAATCCCTTCCCTGCGTGCTGTCTCGAGAAAAATTGCCATGCCATAATTTCCATAATCTGAGTCTGAATAGATAGCTCCTATCCAAGTCCAGCCAAAGTGTTTCACCAGCTTTGCCAGAGCAGCAGCTTGGTAATGGTCACTAGGAATAGTTCTGAAAAAATTTGGGTATTCATGTTTATCAGACAGGCAGGCACAAGTGGCAAAGTGGCTTACCTATAGCAAATATGAAAAATAAGTAATACATTGTGGGTACTTTCAGATTTACTTATTAAAAAATAAACTATTTTCTCACCAGAGGGATATTGAAGGACCCAATGATACGTGACATACTTATAGATGGGCTTGACCCAGAGTCTCCAACAGCTGCTATCACCACACTAGACTGAGAACAGTTACTTTCCTTGTAAAATACAGGGTCTTCACCATTTGTTAGCTGAAATGCAACATGCACAGCCACAGGCACAGCAGAGCATGTGTCATAAATCTGATAACCAAGTCTCATGCCAGGCAGCAGCTCTGTGCTGTTGTTTATCTCCTCAATTGCAAAAATCATTGTTCGAGAGAAGCGTAGATCCCGGGCATTGAAGCTGCAAAGAACCAAATCAGGAGAGTCTTGAGGTTTACCAAGTAAACAACATTATGTACTACTAGCTGACATAGTTAAGCCAACAAAAACAATGTGAGAATTAACAATTCTAAAACAGAATATGAGAAGTCCCTTGAAAAACCATTAATATGTCAATTTTTTAGACTTTACTAAATAACCTTTTTTATTTGAACAAACTAAATATATTATTCTTGACATTCAGTTAAATTTACACAAATGCATACACTATCAATCTTAACAAGATGTTTTCTAAAGATAGCAAATTTACAAATACTTTGTGGCACTTCTTCATTTTACCAACCTTCCTGTGCATTTTGGAAGCTTAGGCTTTGTTGTGTAGTTGTTTACTACTGTCTCCATTTGGTAGTGAATGAAGAAAGCACCTCCAATTAAGAAGTCTCCATCCATGGAAAATGCAGGAGGTCGTGCATTACCCTGCAGGGTACATTTTACCAGTGAAGTCTCAACGCTGGCATCAGTACCAGCAAAAGCATTAGTAGACTGAATTATTCTTTTTTCATCATCTAGAGACCCGTGTAACGCAACTACTGTAACCAGATTGAACAAACTCACTGCTGATCTCAGGCCAATCTCCATTCTTCAAGAGTGAATGTGTGCAAGTGTCTTTTTATTGGTCTCCTTTAGTGCACAAAGGATGATGTAAAAAAAAAAAAAAAAAAAAGATGTCATTACCCAGTGATCTTTATACTTATTATGATGAATTGCCTTATTTTTAAAATCTAAATAGGTTGCCATTAACTGACATTAAATTTGCTTTGGTTTAAGACGATTTATTATTATTATTATAAGTTTTTTTATTCATGCAAATTGTTATATTATCAACATGGCTTTATACATTTACTCATGTTCTCATTTGTGGCTTAATCATTTATTGTGGCTTATTTTGGCTTCAGCAAGCATGCACGTTTTCTGCCGCTTGCAAAGTGCGGAGATGCAGGGGAAACCGAATCTGACGGTGGAACGCGGCTCGATGTAACACCTGCCAGAAAAGGAGGAAACCCGTACAGAGTTTAAATGCTGCAGACGTTGTTTCCTGGCAGAATGTCCATGTGTCAATCATAATGATACAAGATGTCCCTGATTTTTCAAGGACAGTCCCCGTCATGGACCACCTGTCCCCGACTAAGCCGTCCCTAGAAATGTCCCAGATTTTATCGTTTTATGAATGAGGGGGTAAATGTTTTGTGTAGACTGTTATTATGGCAGAAAGAACACTTGAGCATGCTGTACACAGAAACAGTTGCTAGCTAGGTGGTTAGCAGCTGTTAACGTATAGATGAGGACAGAGCACACCAATTTTAAAAAAGACGAGGAAGTTCGTTATCACAACTGGTCGCAGCTGCCCTGTGTTATGGTAAGTTTGTTAATTTGTTGATTTTATTTAAATTGGGCTGATCATTGTGATAAATGGTTCGTGTCCAGGTTATTAAAAAAAGGGCTTTGTTGTGTTTTGCTTTACTAAAAATGAGGACGGAAAAAATGAACATAAATCAAGCTAATGAATAAAAAGTGAGACAGACCATTGGTTGCAGCTGGCATGGGTAAAAGAGAGTCAGATAAAATAAAAAAGAATTATTAAAAACTCCTTGTAAGGTGCTAAACTGGTTCAGTGGTTCTCCAGGGATGAACAAGGGTTTGCCTAAAGATGTTTTTAGAACTGATTGGTGATCTTTAGTTAATATCTTCTGATAGTTAGTTATTGAAAGCAGAGTTATACGTTGCTCTGTTATTTTATGGTTGTGCTCTATAAGCATTGACTTCTGGGCTTAACTCTACTTTTCTACCACTCAGTTTGGATATATGAAAGTTCCTCATTATAAAAGATAAGAGGAATCAAAAGGAAAACTGAATGAGACAAGATCTGCATGATCTGAGATGTTGGGTTACGTGGAGGTTTTGGAGAAACCAAATGCAGAGAAAGAATGCATGAAGCTGAAGGGGTTTCTTGCAGATTTAATAATTCAAAAAAGGTGGCAATTGAGGCAAAAATAACAAAATACAGAAAACCAAAACCTAGAAGACATCAGGGGAAACACACATGAAAAAACTACGAGGAGAGTAGTAGGACAGTAGTAGCCATTCAAAATTTCCCCCCTTTCCTTAATGGGCACTTGGCTGGTCCTTGGCTAGTCTTGGCTAGTCCCCTACTATTCGTTTTTAAACATCTAAAATATTCTAAGATCTAAAGAGAAGTTTCAGTCACTGTAGTAACATTCTCCCAAGAGCTAACCTGGTCGGTAGCAGGTTTTGTTCAGTAAACTCGGAGTGTCCTCTGTCTCCGCTCTTCTTACTGCCAATCACGCTGTTTTACTTCCTGATTTAGTCAGATTTTTATTGTAGGTTTGTGCATAAAAAAAATATATCATTCACAAGGTTCGTTACACAAATTAGGGTTTAAAAGCAAACACTGCATGTCTGTTTGACCTTATTAAAGAATGATTGGCACTTTTTCACAGAGAATTAAATATTCATAGGCAGAGGATTCTACAACTCCGTGGACAGGGCATGAGATTACTTGTTTTTGGTTTGTTTAATATGAGTGAGATGCGGATCATTTTATTTATATTCATTTATGTTCACAGTACACGAAGAACTACTGAAATAATTTTCACTTTACACATAAACAGATTAATTAATTCCATGGGGAAAAATAGTTATTTTATGGTTAGGATTAGGATTCACTCAATGATAACAACCTAATGAGCCTACTGACACAATCTGAACCCATTCTATGGGACTGATAGCTGCTTATAACTGCTACCTATTGAGACAATAACATCTGAAGTATGGCTGCAAATGGCCACTTATTTACTGTGTAAAAGAAGACAGAATCAACATCAGGAGGGACCCATGAGATGATCCGCAAGTTCTATATTTTAAAACGTTTTTAGACTTTAATTATACCTGCTGCCAGAGGATTTCACCTTAATAGATACCTCTATCTACTACCATTCAAGAAATAATCCCTTAATATTTTCACGGTAACAAAATCAATGGCAAGCCTTTTTTATTGTACTAGTTTTTCTGAATATGTATTCTTGATATCTGAAAAAAAAAAAAAAAAATTGTCATTTGGCTAAATGACCATTTCAAACAAAATGACATTCTCCACATCTAGAATAAACATTCCGGATGTATATAAATTAATTTCAGATCTCCATATTCCTAATATTACTGGTCAACTTTTGTATTATTTTAACTATGAAAAATGTTTTTCCAGATATCATAAATACATTTTCAGTCAGCTGATAAATGTCAGAATGGCCAATTAAAATGTGTAAACATTTCTAGATATATAAAACTTAATTCTTACTAGGATACTTTTGTTTTTCTAGTTCCTAAAATTCTGTTTCTGCTATGAAAATGTAGGTTAGAAAAAAATATTATTACAGTCAGGTCTAGAAGTGTGATTTTGATCAGGAAGAATCTTATTGTAGTTATCTACAAATGGAACAACAGAGAAGTATGGAAGCCCTGAAAGGCAACAGAAAAACAAATGCTTTGTTCGAAATCCTGGGCTAAGTCCTTAGAAGGCCAGATTCGAAGGACGATTACGTCATAGCGCGGCACCGAGGTCTGGTCAGATTCCGCTAGTCCTCATTATGCAACCTTAAAATACGTCCTTCTTTTTGCCCAATTTGAAGAACGGGTCCGAGGTATCCGAGGTATCCTTGGTTTACCCAGGATTTATTGCTCCGTGATCAGAGGAAATGTTACTTGGCACGGAACAGTGGTGAAAATTGGAAGTTGAGTTTAATATAATACAAGTCTGTGAATAATTCAGTCTGAAATGAATGAAAATAGTTGTTTTAATGGTTACTGAGTCAGATAAGCGGTGGTAATGTTTGATTTATCTATAGTTTACTGTGTAAATGGGTTTGGCTGTAATTTAAGGACAGATTCTAATATATCTGCAGTGTGGGGACTATAAATCTGATAGGAGTTAAATTTTTTATTGCTGTTTTGCACAATATGCTTAACTAAGTATTTTTGTTGTTGAATATTAGAGATTTTGCAGATATATTTTTTACACATACATTGTTTATATTTACTTATATATTTATACCCCTTTTATAGAGTAGAATAGAAAATCCCTTTATTGTCCCACAATGGGCAAATTTACAGCAGCAGAAAGATTATTGAAAATGGTCACACAAATGTGGACCTTAGAAAAATGTATAAGAAAGCAGCAGAAAGATTATTGAAAATGGTCACACAAATGTGGACCTTAGAAAAATGTATAAGACTAAAATAATAGGGAAGAGTTAAAATATAAACAATACAATTCTGTAAAGTGTTTTAACAATATAAAACTGGAGAATAAATATGCAGCTACGGACATTTTTACAGTAATGGATATCTGAAAATAGCAGCAACATGAGAGATGTGCAAAATGACAGCAGCATGTTATTTAACTGACTAAGGTTTCTATCATTACATTTGCTTTTTTTGTTCCTGCTTCCGGTGGTTGGAACCTTTATTCCACTCTGGATTCTTGTGAGTGTATTCTTTGTTCACTTTATAGTAAAAAAATAAATAAATAAACAAACAGTTTTTAAAACTTTGGTTTTCATTCTTTTCCTGCTTTGTGTGTCAACTTTCACGGTTGCTAAGCAACAGAGCATACGGAGGTAAAACCCGCTGAAGGGTAGACCTGTTCGAATTCACAGCCAAAACACTTCCGGTCTCTTTATTTTCATGGACTTCGAAGGATCCAGTCTACGTAGACCGCGTCTTTGGAGGATGCAGCCCAGGAATTTCATGGACTTCGAAGGATCCAGTCTACATAGACCGCGTCCTTGGAGGATGCAGCCCAGAATTTTAAACAAAGCCAAAATCTGGAAAAGAAAAGCTTGAAAGTTTTTTTTCCTCGTTTTATTTTCTGAAAAAAATCAAAGGCAAATTTTTCTGTTTTTTCTTGTAATACTTTATTTTGCCACTAGAGGCACTGACGCAATAAAACAGACAGTCACTGTCAGCTGTATTCTTCAACTGTATTATCAGAGAGGCCTGGTTTTCAAGAATAAAAGTCCTGAATATAAAATTTGATTTTTGCAAATTAAAATAAGGTACAAAGCTGTGTATTTATTGGCAATGTCATGTGGTTATCATATCAACCTTGAGCTGATACCAGATCTTCACTCAGGGACCTGGAAGATTGAAGTCCAGCTGGATAACACAGGTTGAGAGAACCTGTCCATGTCGAGCAAGCATGAAGCGACAGTGAAGAGGAAACACTCCCCATTGGGAAAAAACCTCTGGCAGAACCATGCTCAA